ATTATGTGGTTAATGCACAATATATTGCCCAAGAATTCCATTGGCGCACCATCTAGGAAACGGATTAGCTATTTATCATAAACCTTTGACTCTTGGTTAAAAAAAACTTGTCTACTCCAAGAATAACTCTTCTACTCGATGAGACCCACCTATCGTCTGGAAGATATTTTTGAAATTGCAGAAGAGAAAATCAAAAAAGCAGGTTTTTCATGGACTCCTGGAAAGAATATCTGTTATTCTGGGTGTGAGGGATTTTAATCATTTTTATGCATTTTTTCATGTAATATTTGTTCTTTATATAGAAAAAGCACAATTATTCAAAGTACCTTTAATGTACTACTAAGACGTAATTATCAACTGAAAGCAACAACTTCAATAAGCCTGGACTCCTTCTTTTTTTTTCGTCAGGTCAGTGTGTGTTTTACCTCCAAAGGAGGTGTCCATATACAGCGGGAGCAGGAGATCTGCCCCTCTCCGGCTGACAATGCTGGCAAAGGATCATGGGGTGTCTTGTTAGTTTCATCTGCAGCTGGAATATACATCGAGCTTAACCTTGACAGACAAGAGACAAAATTGAATACACAATATCGGTTGCATTTTACTCACACTGTATCAAAATGAACTATTTCTGTGAATAATTATTAAAAAAAAAAACAGGGTTATCTGTAATGGTACTGTACATAGTTTATGTTAATGGTTAAAATCTTGTTATATTACAATAAATATATTTATAGACCTAGACTAACGACTGTATTTTTTTCTTTATATGTATTAGAAATACAGTAGATTTTGAGGATATAATACGCACAACTCTTAAGATTTTAGGTCAAATTATATATAGTCAATTTAAAAAAATTCTTTAAGTCAGTACTGATTTCAATTTGGCGATTATGGTCTTCAAATGTGAATTTCACTATGAATTCACCTGTAGTGGTTATAGTATGATGAATCTATGGGAGGAGCCGCCTTTCATTCATGGTTTGAAGAAAACAGAGGAATCCCCCTTGTGTTTAAAACCAACTTCACTAACGGTTTTTCAGTAAAATTAGAATTCAAACAACATTTCTAATTTCCATGTAGCCGAACTGGAAGAATCCTACAAGTCAGCTATACTTTCAATATGACTACTCTGGCCTTAAATGTGAAATTCAGTTTGAATTCTCAAATTTGGTAAATCGTCCTGTAAGTATAGGATATAAAGTGAAAAGACTTATGTACAAGACATATGTTTATTTGTTTTTTGACTACGAGTGCAGCAAAGACACAAGTTGGTAAATCAAATTTTGTTCGGCTTTATTGCAGCACAAAAAGTGGGTGTCCCCCTCCACTAAAATCGACTGCAGTATTATAGGAGTGTAAAATCCACTTGTGAATTTCTCTTATAGCAAGATCTAAAGAAAGCTAAACTGTCGTCGCAAAACGAGATGTTGCAGCTTGCAAAATAACAAATGTCGGGCCTTTAAAAGCAAAACAGTGCTAGTAAGATCTCATGTCGAGCAAACAGAAATAAATAAATAGGATCAGCATTTCACCAATTTATTTTAGACAGCCTGAGACACTGCCATTGTTCATATTGATGCAGAAATTACCTTTCATTACAGCTTCAAAGTCAAGAGTTTAGGTTTGGCTTTAAATGTAAAGACTTCAATGTCCTCTGCCGCAAAACATCCTAAATTATATTTCAAGAAAAATTCAACATTTATTTATAGGACGCAGTGTTATAAAGTACTGCAGGGAGAATGTTTGAACCTCCCACATATTATCAACACATGTTCAGCACGCACACAGTTTTGTCAGGCGCTAAAAAAAAAAAATATCCTGTCTCGAGGAAAATAAGAAAATTAATTTAGCATCATTACAGCCTGAGCACCAAGCCTATCCTCCTGTGTATCTTGGTAGGATGGAGGCCAGATGGTCACACTCTACTTGATGGTCTGTGCTTGTCAGAACATTTTACAGCAAGTCTGGTTCAGGCAGTAGGAGGACAGGGCTGGCAAAGATAAAGCAATCCCAGTAAAAAAACTTTCAGAGGGCCAAAGGTCTTATACAATTCCTGCAATATTACAACACCGTGGGTGACAGGGGGACTGTTGGAGGGGGAGCGGAGAGAGCGGAACACGGCTGCACACATGGTGGAACTGCAGTCATCTTCGACCCTTATGGAATAAGGTCTTTAATATGGTACACAACATGACAGGGATCCAGATAACCCCTAATCCACAAACGGCACTACCTAATATATTCCTGCCACATATGCCCAACCCTCAGAAACAAACTCTATGCCACATATTCCTAGTAACTAAAAAATCCATAGTCACATTTTGGAATTCTGACAAAACACTCACTTTGAATGGGGTAAAGGAAACCATTCAGGGGATTAAAATGTGGGAATGTATGTCTAATAGACGCAACCACACGCTTTCCACCCTTCAGAACATTCGGGACCCATTGATAACATGGGAAAATGTGCATTATTATATTTATATTGCGCCAACAAATTCCGTAGCACTTTACAATGGGTGGACTAAGAAATGTGTTGCGAGCACGTGAAACCACTGAGAAGCGGATTGCAGTAGTCAAGGCGAGAAAGGACATTAATCAATGCACCGAACTAGTGAAATGGAAAGAGCTTCAAACTGGGTTTTTTGCCTACTTTTGGATCAATAGCAAAAAAAGATCTGAGAGAAGCTGAACTTGATGGAAAGGTACAGATCCGTACTGCTACACAAATTCAGCCTGGGCAGTTAAGTACAGAGCAGCCCACTGTGAGGATCTGGGTCAGATAGGGGGCACGTTTATGTTCGTGTGATGCCCCTCTAGAACATCCAGTGCTCTGGAGTGGAGTTAATGTCCTGTGCTGCATTTGCTAGTGACTTGTCTCTGATGTCCTCAATAGTGGGATACCAGAAAATAAAAGTGGAACAGGGCTGTTAAAATGTGTTCTAAGTATGTGTGGATGCTCCCTGTGGCGTTGTGTTTGGAGGATGCTTGTACAATTGCATGTGTGTAGAGAAGACTATTTGTGTTGTAGTGTGTGTAAAGGGGTCTGTTTGTGGCATAATGTGTGGCTAGGGAGTGTATTGTGTGTGTTTCTGGGCTGTAAAGTATGTGTGTGCATGTTTATAGGGCCTGTAATAGTGTGTGGGCTAAGGGGGTGCTGTTTGTGCATGTAATGGCTGTATTGCATATGTATATCTAGGGGATGCCAGGGGTTGCATTGTGTGTGTATCTAGGAGCTTTAGTGTGTGTGTGTGCATATAGAGGTTGTAGTGCGGCAATGTGTGTATACTGTGTAAATAGGGGTGTAGAGTGTGTATAGGGGCAGGGCCGGCGAGTCCATAAGGTGGCACAAGCGGCCGCTGTAGGGCGTACTGGCCCAGGTGCAATAGAATAGAGTGACTGGCAGGAGGTGGGCGCACAGGGCTCCCTCCAACCTGTCACTCTGTGTAACATGGCCGAGCAGAGCAGTGCGCATTGCGGTACAGAAACTTATGTTTCCTGTACCCAGCTGGACTGAAAGGAAGTGCTCACTGGGAGTAGGAGGTAGGAGACACACTGGGGACCAAGGGGGGCAGAGAGGGGCACTAAGGGATGGATGTAAGAAACGCTATGGGACAGGTGAGGGGAGGTTAAGAATACTATGGGGCAGAGGAGGGGGGGAAGAACACTATGTGACAGAGGAGGGTGGGGAAAGAACACTAGGAGACAGGGGAGAGGGGAAAAGAACACTATGGGACAGGGGAGAGGGGGAGAATACTATTGGACGGTGGGAAGAACACTATAAGACAGGGGAGGGGTGGGAAAGAACACTAGGGGACAGGGGAGGGTGGGGTAAGAACACTATGGGACAGGGGAGGTAACACTAGGGGACAGGGATGATGAGGGAGAGCACTATGGGAGAGGGAGAGCACACTATGGGACAGGGAGGTGGGAAGAGCACTATGGGACAGGGAGGGAGGAAAGAAATGTGTTTGTGTGTATATATGGATCAATGAGTGTGTTTGGATAGAGTCCGGTGAGGTGATAGGGATAGGAAGGGGGAAAAGAACACTATATAAGGACAGAGGGAGAGGGAAAAAGAACACACACTAATAAAAAGAGGGTATGGAGAGGATGTTAGTGGGGAGAAAAGATGAACATTAAGAGGGCACTAAGGTACTAGAGGAGGGAAGGGAAAAAGAACAATGGGATGAGAGGACCACTAAAGAGGTGAGAACTCTAAGAGTGGGGTGGGGGAACATTACAAGAAGAATGAGGGCACTAAGAGAACGGTAAGGGGGGGGAAAGAGTACCACTAATGAACAGGAAGTGGGGGGTCACTAATGGACATGGAGCAGAAGAGGGAGGAACACTAAGGGACATGGAGGGGAGAGTGGCAAACTGGAGGGCCTGAGTGGGGAGAAAATCACACAGAGGAAAATGAGGGGAATAAAGGCACACAGATTGGCCTGGAGGAGAAAAGGTTCACAGAGGGGCTGGGGAGGAAAGCAACACAGAGAAGGGCCTGGGGGTGTAAATACAAAGGGGCTGGGGATGAAAGAGACACAGAGGGGCTGGAGAAAAGGAAAAAGAGACACAGAGGGGTGTGGGGGGATAGACGGGCTGGTGGTGAAAGAGAAACAAACAAAGGAGCTGGTAAGAGTAAAAGACACAAAGGGGCTGGGAGAGAAGGAGACTTACAAAGGGGATGGGGGGAGTAAGACACACAAAGGGGGTTGTAAGAGATACACAAGGGCGATGTAAGACACAATGGTGAAAAATAGGGGATAAGACATTTAAAAAAGGGGATAAGAAACAAAAGGTTGGTTAAGAGGCACACAGGTGAAGATGCTTTTTTTTTGGGGGGGGGGAGGGGCACAAAAATCATCTTTACCTGTGTACCCAAAAATCCTTGCACTGGCCCTGTATAGGGGTATACAATGTGTATTTATAGGGGATATAAAGACATCTGTGCGTGTATGCATAGGGAGTGTGAAGTGTGGCAGTATAGCGTGTGTGTACTGTGTGTGAGTGCTTGGGGTTTAGAGTGTGTGAGTGTAGGGAGTGTTGCCTCTTAGGGCCGGTGCTGCCCTGCATGGCCCATCGCGGCCTACTGTGCATTTGCCTGGTTTGCCCGATGGCCAGCCAGAAGGAATGCGTGAAAAACTTAGTACTATTCTATCGTTCATTGTAAAGAATCTGTCAGATATGTCCTGAAATGCAAACCTGAGATATTTATGCACTAAACTGTCAAGTGCAGTTTTCTTGAAACCCAGAATGGAAGAATTTGGAGGAAAATAGTGGTACTGGAAAAATTGTCCATCTCATTTTATTACCAGGTTGTCTATCTTGGCCTATTTTTGATATCGTGTTTTATTTTTGTTTTTAAACCACAGGCCACTCTTTAGTGATTAAATCCCATAGGGAAGGGTTCATGTCAAAACTTTGCGCTGGCAAAGGATAACGGGAGTGGTGATTGCCTTGTCCAGATTTATCTAGTCTAATCTCATACGGATGAGCAAGGCCATGCGATGTGTGCTTCTGAATGATAATTTAACTTTTGGCATTTAATTGTTCAGTCTGGCAAAAAACTAAATGACTGCACTCTCAATATGTAACTTTCTGGCAGCTAAACGCACATTTCAATAACGAACAAGGTATGGACGGTCACGTCACAGTGATTACCATGATCCGGATGACATTGATGTATGTGGCATGGCTGCTGTAAGGATGAATTAACAGCGAG